TTAGAATTTCTGTACTTTCCATCCTTGATAATGCATCTGCTGCTATATTATCTTTCCCTTGTTTATACTGAATGTCATAGTTGAATTCCAACAACTTAGGAAGCCATTGTTGTTGGATTGGAGTATTCAGCCTTTGTTCCAGTAGATATTTCAAACTTCTTTGATCAGTTCTTATGGTGAAGTGATTGTAAAGCAAGTAGTGTCTCCATTGCTGTACAGCAAAAACCACAGCTAATAGCTCTTTCTCATAGATAGACAAGTGTAACTGTCTTCCTTTAAGATGTTTACTGATATAAGCTAAGGGGTGACCATCTTGCATCAAAACTGCACCAATATCATATCCACAAGCATCTGTCTCCACCACAAATTGTTTATTGAAGTTTGGTAATGCTAGCACTGGAGCTTGACATAGTGCAGATTTCAGGTTCTGAAAAGCCAAGGTTGCTTCTTCATTCCATTGGAAATTGTCCTTTTTAAGCAGGGCTGATAAAGGTCTAGCAATGGCCCCATAACTTTTCACAAATCTTCGGTAATAACCTGATAAACCCAAGAAACCTCTGAGCTGTTTAATGGTTTTAGGTATTGGCCAATTAGCTACAGCTTCCACCTTCCTTGGATCTGTAGATATACCTTCTTCTGAAATGTAATGCCCCAGGTACTCCACCTTGTTGACTGCAAAATTACATTTACTCCTTTTAGCAAACAATTTGTTAGCTCTCATGGTCTCAAACACTGTCTTCAAGTGATTCACATGTTCTTCTAATGTAGCACTGTAAATCAGAATATCATCAAAGAAGATCAATACAAATTTTCTGAGAAAATGTCTGAAAACAGAATTCATCAAATACTGGAATGTTCCTGGTGCATTTGTAAGACCAAAGGGCATTACCACAAACTCATAATGCCCATTGTGTGTTTTGAAAGCTGTCTTATGAATATCCTCTTTACTCATTCTCACTTGGTGATAACCCGCCCTGAGATCTATTTTAGAGTAAATTCTGGATCCTCCCAGTTCATCCATGAGGTCTTCAATGAGAGGTATGGGGAATCTATCTTTGATAGTATTAGCATTGAGCTTCCTGAAATCAACACATAATCTCCAAGAGTTGTCCTTCTTCTTTACTAATACTATTGGAGAGGCATATGAACTGCAGCTAGGTTGAATAATGCCTGACTTCAACATTTCTTCCACCATTTTATCAATTTCATTCTTCTGACATATGGAATATTTGTATGGTCTTTGATTCACAGGATTAGCTCCCTGTATCAAAGGAATCTTATGATCATGTCCCTCCCTGAATGGTGGTAACTCTTTAGGTTCCTCAAAAATGGCTTCAAACTCAGTCAGTAATTGAGTAATACCATATGGAATTTCACTGTCAACTTCCATGGTTGATAGAAGACAATCTGTGGCTTGCGTTGTACATTCCCTTACACAAATCATAGCAATCTGCCCTTCCTGCGTTAAGATATTATTCATTTCTTTAGCTTTGATCTCCCTCACAGATCCTTGTTTGATTCCTTGTAGTACTAACTTCTTGTTGGCTACTTTAAAGGCCATGGTGAGTTCTTTAAAATCCGAGAATATTTTGCCTAAGGTTTCCAACCATTGGATTCCCAAAACCATGTCACAACCTCCTAATGGAATAACCATAAGATCAGTTATGAATGGAGTCTGTTGGAATGTCCACTCAAACCCTTCTACTCTGGATTTCACATCAATGGTATTGCCATCTGCTACAGTAACTCTTGCCAATCCATTGTTAATGAATTTGCACCCCAGTTTCTCAGCTGTTTTTTTATCTATGAAGTTATGTGTACTGCCAGAGTCTATTAGAATGAAAAGTGCCCTTTTTCCATGCATTCCCTTGACTCTCATGGTTCTGTAATGGGACACTCCAGCCATCGCGTTCACAGAAATTTGAATATTTTCTTGTAATAGCACATCTTCTTCTGAATTCACCTCTTCTTCATCTGTCTCAATTAAAAATAATTGGTTCTTCTTGTGTTTGAGGTAATGATCAGGTGTGTAAGGTTCATCACATTGATAGCACAATCCCTTAGCCCTTCTGTCACTCATTTCAGCTGCAGTAAGAATTTTTCTGGTCCCTTTTGTTAATTCAACTGATTTCTGACTATTGCCTTCATTGTATATACTTCCAACCTTAGGTGTATTATTAAAGGGATTTTTCCTTCCTCCTTCATCAGCCCTATTAGAACTGCCTTTACCAAAACCAGTATTTCCAGTGACAGAACTTGGTTTTGGATGAGCCAATTCATACAATTTACCCAGAGTAAAGCATTGACGAATTGACTGAGGTTGAAACATTCTTAGGTGCATTTGAGTGTCATTTCTTAAACCAGCTAAATAAGCACTCAACAAATGATCTTCAGACAGATTTACTCTAGTTCTTATTGATTCAAAAGTCTCATTATATGCAATGATTCCTTCTGTTTCTCTTAGTTTCATAAGATCAGCAATTGGATCATCTATAACTTCACCAAATCTTTCAGTTATTAACAATTTGTATCTAGGCCAATCAAGAATTATACCTCTGTTCTGTTCTGAAGTTATCACAGATTGATGCCAGCACGCAGCTTTATCTTTAAGATGAATTGATGCCGAATTGACTTTAATATCTTCTGGTGTGCGATCAATATTAAAGAACTGTTCACATTTGAACACCCAATCTTTAACATTCGTTCCTCCAAATTTTGGAAAATCCAACCTAGATAATCTTGTCAGTCCAGAGTATCCTGAATTCGATGGTGTGCGATTTACTGGATTTGAAGTTGGATTCCTATTGTTTATCACCTCCATAACTTCAAAGATTTCCTTTGAAAATTCAGTGAATTTCGCTGTTAAAGAATCATCAAACTTCAGGCTCATCTGTGAGAACTGATTGTCCATTTTGACATCGATCTTCCTGCTTAAATGATCTTCCAATTCACTGAATCTGGAATTGATAGAATCCTCCAGTTCTTGAGCTGTCATCTCCCTGTGTGCTGATTGAGCTCGAGTCTGAGTCATGGCAGTAGCGCTTCCGAGGTTCGAAGCTCTGATACCAATTTAATACAGCAATTCTGTATTAATAAGAATTGAATTGAAAATGATAAAAGAATCAGAAGAAATTGAGAACTAATGTGAAAACAACAGTTCTCTAACCCAAGTCCAGGACGGTTTTCTTGAGTAGCAAGATGAACGCAGGGAACTAGAGAGTATTATTGATAGTAACAATTGAGATGATGATCAGATTACAACAGCTGGATTTCTTTTTATACTATTAGCTACTAACTGAATACAAGTAAGGTGGTTACACACGTGTCATTTTAGTTAATAACTATTGCTATATCAGATTCTAATTCGGCGAGGAAGAAAGGCACAAATTGGAAGGGAGAAGATAGACATGTGCGAGAGCATCGATCGCAAGGGAGAGGAGAGACGAGAAAATATCGATGATTTCATGGGTTTAATTATATTAGGGGTATATAAGTAATATGGAATCCTGTGTAAGTAACAAAACACGAGAACTCCTATCTAGGACAATTAGTTTCTATCTTGAAGATAGAAACATTGCTTCTATCTTGAAGATAGAAACATTGTTTCTATCTTCAAGACGAGAAATTAATAGATTATACTAATAAAAAACGAGAAAATGGTCAAAATGGAACATCAAGTTGTTTCGACGGGAGTAAGTAGTACTTCACCTTTCATTTGAATTTTTGAAATTTTAAAGTACATGAACTTGTATTTTTATAGTCGATCAAGTACATTTGCTCTGCCAGGACGTTAAAATAGCTGATCTGCCCCAAACTATATGTTTGTATTATGCAGTTGCAATCCAAATCATCAAATAATTAATCTATAAACTCTATTTTTCCCGTCCACTCATTTTCACCTTCGCTCATCATCTTATGTTTTCCTCGCCTGCTCTCCCTTCTCTCCGCTCTACATCTTATATTTCTCCCGTCTGCTATCCCGCTGACTTCTTATTGTTCTATTTTATTTTCTTCTTCTTCAATTATCTTGCTATAATAAATATGGACCTATAGCAAATAAAAGAAGAAGCCGGCAGACGGCGGCAGTATAGTAGGGAGAGCAGCCGAGAGAGAAGGAGAGCAATAGGTGCGGAGCTAGAGGGGTCCAACCTAGGTCCTGGTCCACCCCAAATTAAAAAAATGCTTTAATTGGTCCAGTGCGACCCAGTGCCCTGGCTCCTCCCTTGGAGAGCAGACAAAAGAAATATAAGATAAAGAGCGGAGAGAATGGAGAGCAAACATGAGAAATATAAGATGAAGAGCAAATGTGAAAATGAATGGACCGGAGGAAATTAGAATTTATAGATTAATTATTTGACGACTTGGACTGCAACGGTATATTATAAACTGATAGTTTGGCCAGGTCAGCTATTTTAAAGTTCTAACAGAGCAAATGTACTTGATTGAATTTAAAAGTGCAAGTTCATGTATTTTATTGTTTCAAGTTCATGTATATTCATATTACTCCACTTGAAACTAGTTCATGTACCTTTTTGACTATTTTCTCAATAAAAAACTAAGTCATGGAATGGAATGATCCAATTACCATAAAAGGCATAGGTTTCACTGAATTCATGTGACACAAGTAGTACTTTAGTAGCACCCTTAGCTTGTGCACACCCATGCACGTGCGCGCATTTACAATTTAGAAAGTAAAATCTAGTTTTCAGGTGATTAGTTTCTAAAAGTGACGAGTTTTAGATTAGCTGATAAAACCTTAAACTCATCTTTTTTAACTCATCTGTTTTTATACAAATATGATAGTAAAGGAATCCAGTGGCGGCAGCAACCGGCATTGGTGGCTACCAGTTGATGGTGGTTCTGGGTGACGATATTTTGTTACTCCATTTATTAAATACAATTATTTTATAAATTATATAAATAAATGTACTTTAAACCTTGGGAGTTAGGGGCATTTTTAGTACTTTATTCCATTTCTACTACTATGAAAGTATTGTGTGCACAAGTTGCTTTTGAAAAATGTACATTCTTTCATGCTTAGTTTCTTTTGTAGTGCTCATTTTGGCTCCATACAATGCTCCATTGATATGTATGAAACTTATTTATACATGAAAATGCCCAAATGAATTTACAATGTAAGTTCTCTACATGAAATCATGTCATAATATGAGTATTATTAACATCAAACATTAAAGAAAACTAAAAATTCGATGATCGGTTTCATCACTTCCAGGCACATGAGGCGACCAAATCCCTGTCCATCCAACCAAGGTAAAGTGCATCATTTCTTTCTCCAATCCTATACTTGTCCGAATGGTTCTCCAACAGTCTTTTTATTGTCAGATTCACCAAAGAGCTCAACGGGTACGGAGTAAAACCTGCCATCCTGAACCTAGACTTCCACTTCCCCAGAAGTTCATGTCGTTCCACCCTTTCTGTCCCTTCGCACGCAATTACGTTCACAACATCTCTTGCCAAACAGTGCTGCTCCACGTTTATCCGCTCGCTGTGGTTCCTCGGAAGAACCTCATCAATCGATTCAAACATTGCAGCATAGTAATCCAATGTTTCTACAAACCGAGGAAAAAAGGCAGCCGTGTTTGTATTAGATTCTTGCTCTACAAGAGTAACCACCTTCGGGTTAAGGTTCTTGACCATCCTCAACAACCTGTTATTAGGAAAATATTATTATATTAGTAATATATATTTCGTGGATCATTTTCATTCATTTCACAGTTATCTGCAGTTTGCAAAGGTTTGTGTTTGTGATTACATTCAGTTGCAGATGATGCCGTCAATCCGTCTAGAAGGAGAGAATAGGACACAACCATGGAAGACAAAACTGAAGACGGTTTAGTGAGTTTCTTTAGTTTATTATTTTTCCGCATTAATTTTAATGTTCTGTCTAAAAGGTCAACCTAATAGTTACTCAGGTCTTATTTAAGTTTTTATCTTTTTATTGGCTTGGTCTGGATTGACTTAAATCTCCTCACAAGATAGTGGCTAATCGGAGCATGCCAACATTATAATGTGTGTGGGCATTATCAAGTATTATCAAGATCAGATTGCTCATTTGAGCTTAATTAGTTTTGATACAACCTAAAAGTGATATTTAAAATGAACAATTATATTGGACTGCTGATGGAGAATAGAGTATATAGAGATTTATATATGACACATGAGTTCATAGGATATGAAGGTTTGTTAAGAATAATACCTGTCCCTATGGTTTAGGGTGCTCACGCTTTCATCAGGCATGTGGTGTAGCATGTATGCAAAATTCACGGCCAGTGCTTCTCCTGGCCGGATTACCAGGTTTTTCAGGTCAATGTCTGAAGAATGGAATTCAAAAGGCACCTTGAAGGACTCGGCAAGTTCTGAAAGATTTTCCCCCGCAATACTCACTGGTCCGCGGTCATCTATGCCGGTTATTCGGATGCGGGGTGGCCCACCTGGCCGGGAAGCGAAAGCTTGGATAAGAGTAACCCACTGGCTGCCTTGACCGATTTGGAAGTCTATTATATGGACACTTTGTTCGCCCTTCATGGCTTCGGCAATGGCTCCGTTGGCCGACATATGACCAAATTTGAAGTAAGGGCAAACCTCGTAAAGGGTATGCATGAAAGTGAGGAGCTGATGAGAACTTGTTGTTGGCGGCAAGTGTTTGGATCTCAAGGATTTGTAGAAGGAACTGCCCGAGGAAGATGACCGGGCAACGAGACCTTCCAACATGTATGCCCCAAGCCGTTGGATCGGTTCACCTGAAACGGAAACCATTTTCCGTAGTTCGGACATCAACCAATGTGATGTCATCAAATCATTATCCGACACTGCCTTTGCACAGGCAATGAGGACCTGTTTTAAATCCCCATGGGGCATCATTTGCCCGAGCCTTGTGGTTTCTATAAAAGGAGTACCGTAATTGGTGTGCGTGAATTGTGGGTCGGGCTTGGTAATGGGGCTTCCATTTGATGGTGAGTTGGAAAGAGCGTCGTTCCCACTCATCGAGGATGATTCCAAAGTGCAATAGGGCTTATGAGGAGCTTCCTCTTGAAGTGAGTCATTAGATCCATTTGTGTTGGCTATAATTTGAAAGTGAGACAGGGAGTAAGTGTCATCATTTTGAAGGAATTGAGGGCACAAATCAGTGAATCTCCCGAGGCGTGATGCATGCATTGAAAAAACTGTGGCCCTTTAATTCCCAAACATAATTAAGGTATAGCGATAGATTACTCATAAAACGGCTATTGTAAATTGAACGCCTCTTGTTTACTCCTTGAAAGTAAGACCGACAGCAATCTCTGTAGAGAAATGGAATGTTGTTTAAATGAAGAATGTTTAGTAACAGTGAAAGGAAATTACTATCAAAAGAACAAATGACTTTATTAACTTTCTTATGGGAAAGGCCACAGAAGAACATGAGACAATATGGACATACCTTATGTTTTGCAAATTTTAGACCAAAATTTTAGTGAAAGCAATCATTATAATATTGACAGTTCGGAAATTAGGGTTTGTTTCCGTGTAATGTGAATAGCTATGCCAAAATATGAACAAGGAAAGATTTTAAGATAGTTGGAGTAGTAACATGCACTTGTATACTCTTATTTGATACCCACCCACCTTAGACTCTTATTGTTTTGGACTTTTGGTGATGCTATTTTTGAGAATAATTCAAGGTACAATAGATCATCGAGCAAATATGTTTCCACAAATACAATCAAACAAAAAAGAGTAAGAACACTAGAACTTGCGTGGTTTGGGAAGCTATATAATACCTACCGTAGGGAACTCTCAACTATCTTTACTAACCACCACACATGAAAAATTACAATTTGGGTCTGAACTCACATATAGGAGAAGTTCTCTCAACACAAATACCCACCTAAAGGAGATAAAAAGTTTCTAGTAGTGAAATTTTCCACATAACTGAAGTACAAATGGAGAAAGAAACTACGGTTCTTGCTCAAATTCTCCTATGACTACTCTAAACAACTCAATATTTGTATGATACTACAACACAACCTAAATACCTCAATTTATAGGACGATGATTGCGGATTCACAAAAATAACTTTCTCAAATTGCTTGGTGCAATTTATTCTTGCATTCCTCCTGTTATAAAAATCACCCAAAAAATCACCTTTCCGGTGGATCACCAAACTTTTTCTAGATTGCCTCCTGTGAGTTTATTGACCCTTTGGGTGCCCGCTAGGATTCTCTAAACTTATTGCAGCACATAGTGTGGCATCAGATTCTGTCTCCACTAAAAAAATCAATGGTTCAAAAGTTCATCCTTTATATTTTAAAATAGAATAATGCAGGGCTTCTCAACCAAGATAATGAAGGATTCCACCATAACTCCTAAAGACAAATTCACAAATTAGAGCCAAAAGTTCATAATGAACTCATCTAAGAGCACCATCGCACAAAATAAAATGTTAAAAAGCTATTGATGCATATGCGTGTGTAAAAAAACACCACCTACTTCAATACCAAAAACACCACCTACTTCAATATCCGTAGGGAATGAATTATAGAGTTCCTTTTTTATATGCATTGGAACAAGAATTAGAGAGTTCCTAGTAGCTGAAATAGATGTTACCTCACGTTTTTAAAGACTCAACAGAATTGGTACGGTTTGGTCATTTTAGTTAAATAATCTTTACCAAACAGCCCATAATGCTAATGTGCAACTTCAGAGGCCTCCAAAATACATATTTCACTAATTCCACCAACTCACGTCACCCCTAGTCCCTACCCAACGAAAGGCTCGAGCAGTAGAGAAATACAATGAAAAACATTCACTTTTAGTCAGGCACGTGAAGCAAAAAAAACACTGTTAGGGATTAAAAAACCAAGTTGTAGCCTACCAAGCAGAGTGGACCCTGAACACATGAAGAAAAATAAAATGCATCTGGCCTTCATGTTTTATAAAAAATATTAGACTACAGTTTTTCATTGTCATTACAAGGACTACATGGGTAAAGAAACTGCTATCCTGTTGTTGTTTTTCTATTTTTTGCTTTTGCATTCAGTTTTCTTTCCTTTAGTGAAAAATAGTCAAAAGTAACATTTTCCAAAGTCTAATCCTAAACGAGAACACTAAGAAACCTTTGGTGAAGAAAATAACAGTATTATTTGGATGTAATTAAAATGTTAGTAGAGTTTGATCAATTGATGAAGGAGAATACCCAAGGAATTCAAAAGGCTGAAATTCAATATATTTTTCTTTATCACATAATTCAGCGTGAGGTGATTCAAATGTCAGCGCCTTAACCGCTAAGATGAAGACTTTATTATCAAGAAAAGTTATTATGAGAATGAAATGACTATTCTTCAATGCAGAATAGTTATTCTCTTGCAACCCATTTATTATGTAATATGTGGATTGGCTCAAAATTAAAGTTTACATTTTTATTAAATAAAATGTAGTTTTGAGTATATATATGACAATACTATTGAGTAAAAACAAACATGATAATAAATACGTAGTAGTAGTAATAATAATAATAATAATAATAATAATAATAATAATAGTAATAATAATGACGTAAAAGAGAAATAACAGACCCCATAAATTTTTATTTTCTTGCTAGGGTCTCCCAATTCTCAATGGTTTCCCTAGCCCTGGATCTTAGAACAATCCGTGCTCAAAGAGAAATTCATAAAACGAAGAACTAATAACTGGAAAACATGAAACAAAACCAGAACAAAACTATATGAAAAAATATGTGAAAATCGAAGGAGAAGCCAAGCGTTGAGTTAGAGCTAGTCAAAAGCATAAAGTAGTGAAAGAGTTTGATATTGACACCTCAAAAATCGAGACTCGCCAAGTTCAAGCTATACACGCTTCTTCTCCTTCGAATCTCTGTATGGTACTGCAAACAACAATTCTGAGGGAAAGAGATACAGGGAGTGGAGCAAATGAGAGATGGCAGATAAGAAACTATTCCCTTTGGATTATATTACTCTTTGCCTCATAAATAGAATAAAAATTGGGCGTTGGCTTTGCATAAAAAATATCAAATAAGTTCTTATATAGGAGGCTCTATCCGGCCGTCGTCATTTGGCGCGGTTCCCGGTGGAATTTTTTGACGAATTCTTTTAGCATCTTATTCATTAAGTCTAGTTTACTCATACCAAATTTCACCTAAGAATTCAACCAGGAAGGCATTCAAATGAATTCTTGAAGATAACTGCGCAGTTAAAAGCGCAATTATCTTCAAGAATTCATTTGAATGTCTTCCCGGTTGAAGTTTTAGCTGAAATTTGGTATGAGTAAACTAGACTTAACAAATAAGATGCTCAAAAAGTTTCATCAAAAAAATCCATCGGGAACCGCCTCAAATGGGGACGGCCGGAAAGTAAGGACTTATTTGACACTTTTTATGCAACTTCGAGTACCAATCTGACTCTTACCTCCTTTTCAAACTGACCCTACGAAAATCAGACTCTCTTAAATAAATCAATAAAGTGTAATTTTTCATTGGGAGTGTTTGCAAATTCCAACTGCTTAAAAAAAGCGTTTCTATTTTTTTTTATCGTCAAAATAGATAGCTTAAATTCAAATAACAGACAATCGTCAGCCCTCGAACCAAACTTAAAGTTAATCACCTCCAAAAAAGTAATATAACTCGCTGATCCTATAATGGGCATAAATGAGCCAACGACGATTAAAACAGGTCTCCCAATCCTAATGCAAGAGTCTTACAACAATAAAAGAAACCAACAAAAAAATAAACAGTCTGATCATGAAAAATAAAGAGCCTGAAAATAGTAAAATTAAAATACAGCTTTCAAACTCTAAACTCTCCTGCACTTCATGGTGGCGGTTTAGGAGGGGGATGTTGTTGGAACTAATCTTGTTATTAGTGTCTGATGGAGTATATGGCCCAGGAACCCCCGGCCCATAGACTCCTACTTCTCCTACACGAGTCCGTTGAGCCCAGAGAACAGCTCCGGCCCGAAAGCGACGGCCCAAGCCTCAAAGTGGCCCAGAATACACACTAGGGTGCCTTCGGCCTCCCTGACCGAAGGCTCCAAAACTCACAGAATAGCCTTCTCTGGCATAAGAAGCTACTGGGGAAAAACGGGCGAGAACATTAGCCTTCGGCACTATTGAGCCCTCGGCACCAGGGGAAGCCCTCGGCTGAACCAAGCCTTCGGCTACACATTGAGCCTGCGGCCATACGTGAAGCCCTCGGCTACACGAGGAGCCTTCGGCCATACAAGGAGCCCTCGGCTACAACAGGAGCCTCCGGCTGGACTAGTTCAATCATCGAAGATTCCTTTTGGAGACAGCCAACCACCGCATTTAATACCGCGTCGCATCCACCAACCGCATTCAATGCGGTTGACGTACCACTGCCGGTGCCACTAGGCTGATGTGACCCTTCGGCCGTTGGATTACTGACACGTGTCCTCTCATCGCATTTATTGCTGCTATAAATAGCAGCCCATTTCTCCTTGTAATAGACAGAACCTACATCCCAACACACGCTGAGTTCATTTAATAAAATCGACTCTCTCTCCTCCTATTTGCTCTGACTTCTCTCTAGTTATTTCCGCAATAACCCCTCGGATTAGATACCCCCCGGGTAGACTATCCATCATTTGGTGCTCTCATTGAGAGTCCTGAACTATCAAGTAAGAAACCCTCCCCCTCTACCAAATACGAAACACTCACCAAAAATGGGAAGAACCACCCGTGCCCAATCCAAGACCCTCGAGGAAAACTACGTAGCCCCCGGCGAAACTAACGGGGTTGAGGCCTCCAACAGGCTCTTAGTACCCGAGGGTGGTGTCATCCTCGAACTAGAGCAAGCCACCGCTGACCTACGTCAGCAGCTGCAGAAGAACACCCCCGATGCCCGCATTGGCCTTGATAATCGAAGGAGGGATCGGAGTGAGAACCAAGTTCCTCCTCCGGCCTCGGCCATCGATCTTCAGGCTGCCTTTGCGGCCTTTGTTCAAAACATGGCTCTCAATTCCGGAGCCCTCGCCTCTCAGGCACCCCTCCAGCCCTACGCTGGAGGGAATGTTATTCAATTACCACCGCTCCCTCCTCTGTTCACCAATCCTCCCCCGGGAATTGGAAACGCCGAAGGGATCATGGCACAGGACACCGCCTCCCAAGAGGCCCAATCCAGGGATAAACGTCCCTTGATGAAGGAGAAACCCCGGACCTCTGCACTTGAGAGGCTGGGGGGAGCTCCCGTACGCCGAGGGGTCCAAGACCGCCTCGGCAAACAGGATTTCAGCAGGCCTCAGGAGAGCGGAGCCTCCGCTTCGGGAGCCGAGGGCATACCTCCGCCCCGAAGCAAGGGCAAAGCAATCCTCCATGCCGATGACGCCAGACACCAGATCAATCAAGCGCAGTCCTTCCGGGCCAACTCCCAAGGGGTTGCTCCGAAGGACCCCAAGGACGAAATCATTGAAGCCCTCCTCCGTCAACTCGAGGAGAATCGCCAGGCACCCCCGACGGCTTCCACAGCGAGGCCAGATCCGGAGTACGCTGACCTCCGGGCACAGGTGGAGGAAATGAAACGTAAACTGGCCGAAGGCTCCGGCGAGCCCCTCATTCAGCTCCGCACTAGGACGCCTTTCACCCCAAGGGTGTTGGCGGCCAAAATCCCCCACAAATATCGGGGGCAACCTATCAAACCGTATGAGGGGAAGACGGACCCCCAGGAGCACTATAGCCGTTATCAAAACAGCATGATGATGATGGGGGCATCGGATGAATACTTATGCCGTTGGTTCCTTTCCACCTTGGAGGGACCAGCGTATGAGTGGTTCAACCGGTTGCCCGAAGGCAGCATTGATTCTTGGCAAGAACTTGCCCACCGCTTCCTTACGCAGTTTGCCGGGAGGCACCGCTCAAAGAAACACTTCTCCCACCTTCTGAATGTGAGACAACAAAAGGAGGAAACCCTTCGGAGTTTCCTGGAACGATGGAGGCAGGCCTCCCTCGAGGTCGAAGGCGCTGATGACAGGACACTAATGGCCCTCTTCCACACCGTCCTCCGCAACGGTAACTTCTCCCGGAGCCTCATTACTGATCCCCCCCGCGATTATACAAAGGCCCTTCAGCGGGGGGACCGATATGCTGAAGCGGAGGAAATCGAGAAGGACCGCCGCAACACGGATCCTTCCCAGAAGAATGAAGGCAGGAATCGGCCCGGAGGGCCTCCCCCTTCGGCCAACCGAGAGGCACAGTACAACGATCGCTCCCGAGGTGGCCAAGCCAGACCCGGGGGCGGTTACAAGAACAATCCAAAGGCATGGGCGCAACCCGTCCTCCTTGAGCACCCACGCACTCCCTTGACGCATCCCGTCAGCGTCATTCTCGATCATGCAGAAGAGCGAGGGCTCGTGGAGCGAGACTCCCGGACACCCCTCGAGATCTATGCCATCGGCCCTGATGAGCCCTATTGCCGCTTTCACCGCCACCATGGGCACAAAACCGACGACTGTCATCAGCTGAAGAACGCGATTGAGAGGCTAATACAGGCGGGCCACTTATCTCAGTTTATCAGGGGGCCTCCTCCCCAGGGCCCCCCTCATCATCAAGGGCCTCCGCCGAAGGCTAACAAATGGGTGAACCCCAACACCATCCCCTTGGGAAACCCACAGGGGAAGAAGCGAGAAATTGGGGGCCTCGACGACGAGGGAGAGGGCTCCCATCAACAATACAAGCGCCATATTCATATGATCAGCGGCGGCAACACCGGAGGCGATTCAACGAGCCAAAGGAAGAAGTGGGCACAGTCCCTCTACATTGGGGAGGTCAATCACATGCCCCCTGCTAAAAGGCCGAGGGCGGATCCCATCTTCTTCACAGATGCGGACCTCCCCTCGGGCTCCCTGCCGCACAGGGATGCCCTCGTCATCCGCACTGAGATCAATAACGCCATCATCCACCGGACTTACGTTGACACAGGGAGTTCTGTCAACGTCATGTATCTCAGCACTTTTCAAGAGTTGGGACTTGACAGGGGGTCCCTCCGATACATCAACACCCCCCTCTCCGGATTTACGGGGGACAGCATAGACGCCGAGGGCGTCATCACCCTCGTGGTTGAGTTAGGCGACGGATCCCATAGAGCCAAGCTCGAAGTGGAATTCGTCGTCGTCAACCTCGACTGCGCACACAACATCATCCTCGGCCGTCCCGCCCTCGAGGATTTGGAAGCCGTCATCTCTATGAGGCACCTCTGCCTCAAGTTCCCCACACCCACCGGCATCGGCTACTCGAGGGGGAATCAAAAACTCTCCAGGGCCTGCTACCTTCAACTTACCAAGAGGGTTAGTAAAAAAGAACTACGTGTGGACACCATCACCGCCAGGGCTTTGGAGGAAGAAGAAGGCAGGCCGAGAGCTGAGCCTGCCGAGGAGATCGAAGACTTGATACTCGATCCGGCCAAGCCGGAGAGAGTTCTGAAGATTGGAGCCAAGCTCCCCGAAGACTTGAAGGCTGGCATCACCAAAACCCTCCGCGCCTACTCCATTGTTTTTGCATGGGGGCCGGAGGATATGCCGGGAATTGACCGAAGGGTCATCACCCACCGCCTAGCGGTGGACCCTTCGGCCAAGCCAGCACAACAACGGAGAAGACCCCTCTCGGCCGAGAGAAGGGAGTTCGTGAAGAAGGAGGTATCCATGCTCCTCTCCATCAAACACATCAAGGAGGTGAAATACCCTTCTTGGTTGGCGAACGTAGTCCTCGCACAAAAGCCCCCAACTTTCCGCATGTGCGTGGATTACACGGATCTGAACAAGGCATGCCCTATGGACCCCTTCCCGCTGCCAAACATCGATCAACTGGTGGATGAAACCGCGGGATGCGAGATCATGTCATTCCTCGACGCATTCCGCGGGTATCATCAAATCTACATGCATGAGGAAGACGCTGAAAAAACCGCCTTCATGACACCCGAAGGCATCTTCTGCTATCTTGTGATGGCCTTCGGCCTCAAGAATTCAGGCGCCACCTACACA